CATTGCAGCCTCTTGGGGAGTAAGTCATCAGACAGAAGATTTTCCTCTCTGTCTCTCCTCCTTTCTGTTTATCTGACTTTCCAATAATTAAAAAAAAAAAAACTAAATGTTAAAAAGATAACATTTGTGTTGCACTTTATAACTTAGAAACCACTTTCAATATTGTTTTATTATATAAATGCATTCTCTGGAATTATGCTATTCTTTTCATTAATGTTTATTAATTATTCCAATTGTGATGCCACATGAATAAAAATTTTATAAATATCCTCTAACACAATAATCACTATCTTCCTTATTAGCCCTCATACTTGTGGTCTCCAGAATGCTCAATTTTAAGAAATTATACAAGACAATGATTATCTCGTGTCATTCACACTGACCAAAAAACCTTCAGGGTCCAGTGTGGTAGCTTAGTGGTTCAAGTTTTTGCCTTGCATGCACTGGAATATTGGCGCTGGTTCATATCCTGGCTGCTCCATTTCCATCCAGCAACCTGATTATATCCTGCGAAAGAAGCTGAACATGGCCAAAGTGCTGGGACCCTGCACCTGCGTGGGAGGCCTGGAAGAAGCTCCTGGCTCCTAGCTTTGGATTGGTGCAGTTCTGGCCAACGGCGGCCACTTGGGGAGTGAAATAGCAGATAGAGGAGTTTTCTCTCTGTCTCTCCTTCTTTCTATAAATCTGACTTTCCAGTAAAAATTAATAAATCTTAAAAATAAAAATCCCTTCAGTTTGATTTTCTAATAAACATAAATTATAAACTGCAAAAAAAGAGATTCACTTTTTAAAAAATCAAAGATAGTGCACAAGGAAAGAAAACATCATCAAGCGGTAACTAGGATGTAATGAAATTTATCATTCTGGGCCGAGCGCAATAGCATAATGGTTAAAGTCCTCGCCTTGCATGCGCCTGGATCCCATATGGTCAGCGGTTCTAATCCTAGCAGCCCTGCTTCCCAAGCACAAGCCCTGCTTGCAACCTGGATAGGCAGTCGAGGACAGCCCAAGACCTTGGGACCCTGCATCTGCGTGGGAGACCTAGAAAAGACCCTGGCTCCTGGCTTTGGATTGGCTCAGCTTCAGCTGTTGCAGCCACTTGGGGAGTGAATCATCAGACGGAAGATCTTCCTCTCTATCCGCCTTTCCAATAAAAAAAAATAATTATTAAAAAAAAAAAAGAAACAATCAGCAACTACAAAAACAGGTCTGTAAAATGATGAGCTGGGGCAGGTGTTGTGCTACCGCTGGTTAAGATGACATTTGGCTCAGCCCATGTTATAGGACCGGCTTCTTTGTTTCCACAGCACATCCCTACTGCTGTACCTGGGGCGCAGCAAACCACAGCTGAAGCACTTGAGGCCCTGTCACCCACATGCAAGACCAGGATGGAGCTTCTGATTCCTGACTTCAGCTTGACGCGTTCTGGTTCCAGCTAGTGTGGACATTTAGGGAAATAAACCAACAAATAGAAGACCTCTCACTGTCATTCTGTCTTCAAAATAAGCAAAAAAGCTATATACAATAATTAAATGTGGGGTGAACAAATACAACTGAGTAGAACGTTTGTATAAACTGAAGTTGTCATAAGCACAACACAGATTATGAAAAATATTTCCTATAAATTCCATGGTAGCCACAAAAAAGAATACAAAAACAAAAAAGAAAATGAGATAGACACCTAGACATGTCAATACAAAAAAATCACTGAAACACAAAGAAAAACAGCAAGGAAAGAAGAACAAAAGAGCTACAGGACAGAAAACAATACAACAGCAATAATAAATCGTTCCGTATCAGTAATTACTTTAAATGTAAACAGACCAAATTTCCAAACAAAACACACAGAAGCTTCTGCACAGCAAAGCGAACAATCAGCAAAGTAAAAAAGCAACCAACAGAATGGGAGAAAAATCTTTGCTTACTACACGAGACAAGGGGCTAATATCCCAGATATGCAAAGAACTCCAGAACAACCAATAACAAAAAAACAAAGAAACCAGTTAAGAAATAGGCAAAGGAAATGGGCAGACACTTCTCAAAGGAACAAATCTAAATGGCTAACAGAAACAAAAAAACACATTCTTCTGATTAAATTCTTCAATGACTCATAGATGACAGAGTAGCATCATTTTCTTAAATAAAGTTCTTAATTTTCTTTTTCATTTCTTCAGTGACACATTAGTCATACAGTAGCATGTTTTTTAACTTCATGGTGTTGTTAATTTCTTTTATTCTTCCTATTGCTGATTTTGTTTTGTGTCATTTCATTTAAGGGAATGTATAGTAGCTGTGCAATGGAGACTATCATATACAGATGTGAGGATACAATACAGTATGCATCTCTACTTCCAGACTAAAAGTGGACTCCCAATGAAACTATTAACTGCTTCGTGACAACAGGATGCCGGACTCTCTGCCATTGTCCATGCCTGCAATGATGAACATATGACTGTATATGAGGAACTTACTACAGTATAGTATAGGGGAATTTAGTGACAGGGCAGAGAATTGGGGAGAGGATAAAGGAAATCTCAGGGCCTATGGAACTGTATCATAAAATGATAGAATAATAACATTTTAAAAATAAAAAGAATGAAATACAATCATTTGCAGCAAATGGACCAAATTGGAGACCATTATGGTAAGGAAAATGAGCCAATCCCAAAAGGTCAGATACCACATGTTTGCTCTAATATAAGATAATCTCCATCAAAATTCTCAATGCTAATATTACTAGGGGTTGTTTTGCTCATCTTCTTACGGAATGGCTCTAGTTTCAATTTGCAGTTTTATAGAGTCAAATCTATTTTTTGCTGTGAATCTTACCTTTTTGCACTTCCTAGTTATTTGTATTTCTCTCAATAAGTTCTTGTGATTCAATCATTGATCATCCATAAGAAAAGCATTGCCTGTAAACACTTGAGACTGTAAATGTTCAATTCAACAGTTTTGCTACATATCATGAATAATGAAGTTCAAGTTATTGTTATTTCTTCAGCACCAAAAAGTCATGCACTTGCATCTATTCCTACAAGAAGGTTTTTGATTCCTGTTTTCACCACTCTTTTTGATGCATTTTTAGTTTTGTAACATGTTTGTTAACTTCATTTTGAAGAAAAGCTATTGTTTTCACCCCCATTTGTTCTGTGCTCACTGGTTCTGTGTTTTAGAGACTATATAACGGAAATGTAGCAGAGACTGATAAGCTCAGACATGGAGACAACGTGCTGTATGTCTCTATGCATACAGACCAGAGATGCACTCCCACTGAAAGAACTCACTACATCCTAACAACAAGATGACAGACTCCCTGACTATGTCCATGACTACACTGTCGGGAAAACTTCAATAACAACACGATGGACTTGTGATTGTTCATGAAGGATGTCCATTGTAAAACTAGAGGGGATATCAATGGGGGGGTGGTGGCATGAGGAGGGACCTTAGGGAAAGGCATGGGCAAACCTCAGAACCTATGGAACTATATCATAACACAAAATAAAATATGTTTAAAAAAAAGCTTGGGCTGGAAAGACAGTTCAACAACTAAATCCTTGCCTTGCAAACACTAGGATCCCATATGGGCACTGGTTTATGTCCTGGCTACTCCATTGCCAATATAGTTTCCAACTACCGGGAAAGCAGTGAAGGACAACCCAAAGCCTTAGGACCCTGCACCCATGTGGGAAACCTAGAAGCTCCTGGCTCCTGGCTTCGGATCGGCTCAATTCTGGCTGCTGTGGTCACTTGGGGAGTCAATCAGCAGATGGAAGATCCTCTCTGTATCTCCTTCTCTATAAAGCTGACCTGCCTTTCAAATGAAAATAAATAAAACGTAAAAGAAACAAAGTTTGCAACCCTGCGTCATATAAAGAATAAAGGCAGGTAACAGAATGTCAACCCTTGGAATACGCAGAAAGCAGAGTTCAAGGTAATGCAGGGCCAGAAAATTAAAATCTTTTATCTATAGAGAATATCATAAAATGTTATACACCTTGGTAACAAAATCAGGCTGCTAACATCGATCCCCAATCAGAGCTCAGTAGAATGTAGAAACAAGCAAAGGAAAAAATCATGCTCTGCCTATTATACTGTTTTTACGCTTTGGTTAATCCTAAAATTTTCCTGCTCAAAATTCTTCAATAACTTTTGAACAACTTTCATCAAGTGCCTCAACATCACAGTTCCCACTATTATCATCCTATTAAATTACATTTTTTACCATTGTCCAAAGTGTATAACTCTCCAGATAAGCTCCTCTTTTAACTGGTCCTAAGCAAGGGCAAACATGCAGGTTCACTGACACCATACAGCAGTCAGTCCAGGGCACCTTAACAAAACACCAGGGGATTGAATCCCTTGAACAGCATTTCGGAAGCTGGAAGTTCCAGAGCTAGGAACAGCCAATTCAGCTCTGTATCAATGCTCTAGTGCTGTCTTGTCACTGTGTTCTCGACTGGACTTTATCACGTAGAGAGAAAGATCTCTTTTTCTTCCTCTTTTCATAAGGCTACCAACCCAATTTGACTAAAGTTCCAACATTATTTTTTCATTTAATCTTAGTTACCTTCATAGAAGTTCTATCCCCAAACATAACCTCAATAGGAGCTTGGGCTTCAAAATACAACCTTGGCAGACAACACAAATATTCATCCTATACAACATTCTATTATTTCTGAGAAAAGACCTAAATATATTTGATAGCTTCTGTTCTTACCCTTTTGAAATATTCCCATTATTAAAAACCCACCTGAGCCTAGTAAAGAATGACATGCCATGTACACCCCAGCCAACAGCCAGAATCCAATGCCACACTGGACAATCCTCCAGTAAAATTGTCAGATGACCGGCAAAAGCGACCCCAGGTAAGACAAGCACAACTGCCAGCTAAGTTCAGCAAAAAATGGCACAACGGTGACAAAATCAACCATAGTAGCTTTAAGTCATAAATTTTGGAAACAGCTTATTATGAGTAATAGATGTTAAAATATGTGTACCTTCTCGTCCTGCTTTTCGACCTAGACCTCTGAACTCTGTAGGATTTCCCACGACCCCTTGAACGACTTCGACTTCGTTTTCTTCTAGAGCCATAAGAAGAGCTACTGCTTGACCGATGTCTGCGTCTGAAATAAAATATAATTATGTGTCATTGCTATAAAATTTGTTATGGACACTGGGGACAAATCTTTCAAACTCTAGAGAATCACCTCATTTTTGTTGTCTTACTCTTTCTTTAGAACAAATAGAGAAATATTAAAATGTTCTGTCCACTGAGCAAATGCCTAATTCATAATGTAATGTGACTGGATGAGATGCTAATTAAGGAATTATAAATCTTTAGTAATAAATAATAATTACAAATGTCATAAAATGATGTGATATAAGAACATCCATTTATATCTATTTTACCATAAAAAAATGAAAAAGGAGAGCTGATACTGTAGCGTAGCAAGCTAATACTCCACCTGTGGCTCTGGCATCCCATAAGGGCTCCAGTTTACATCTAAACTGCTCCCCTTCGATCCAGTTGCTTGCTTATGGTCTATGGGAAAGCAGTGGAGGATGGCTCAAAGTCCTGTGCCCCTACACGCATGTGGGAGAAAGGAAAGAAGTTCCTGGTTCCTGGTTTCAGATCAACCCAGACAAGGACACTGAGGTCATTTGAGGAGTAAACCAGTATATGAAAGATTGCTCCGTCTCTCCTTCTCTTTATAAATCTATCTTTCAAATTAAAAAAAAAAATTAATAAACCTTTAAAATAAACTGACAAAGAATGAACATATTAGATTCTGGAGTGAGCCATTTTTAAATGAGGGGAAATTTTTTTTCCAATATAAATAAATAAATAAATCTTTAAAAAAAAAAAAAGGAAAGAAAAATTACCTTCTATCATAAGAATGTGAACGGGGCTGACGATCTCTGGACCAAGATCTGGACTTTGATCTTGATTTCCTACCACCTTTCTTGCGACTGTAGGTTCTACTATCTGAAGAACTGCTCGAGGATGAGCGTCTGCGGTGTTTCTTTTTTCTCTTGCTTCTACTTTCTTCTTCAGTATCTGATGACCGACGTCCCATTTCTACAAACTTAAAACCAAAGGACATTATTTGTAACACAGTGGTCCCAAGGATTAAATTCAATGTATTGATTTTAGCTAAACTTTGTGAACATTTAAAATGTATATTTACAATAAGATTTAAATGTGCCTGGTTTCTTGAAATGACACAGGAAGCAGCTCTGCGGACTGGTGTCCGGTTATGGGTAGTCATTGCCTGCGATGCCAGGATCCCATGAGGGCATGTTTGTGTTCTGGCTTCTCCACTTCCACTCGGGCTCCCTGGCACTGACCTGAGATTAGCAGCAGCAGATGACACAAGTGCCTGGGCCCCTGCTACTTGCCAGGGAGGCCTAGAAGAAGGCCCTGGCTCCCAGCTTTGGCCTGGTCCAGCCCCATCCATCCAGGAAGAGAACCAGCACATGGAAGACTGTCGCACTCTCTTTCTCTCTAACTTACAAATACATAACTAAATCTTAAAAAAAAAGAAAAAATTGTTCCAGTATAATCTAGGACATTGATAAACTTGTTTACCAGAAATTTTTTGAAAAATCATAAATTCATTCCATTTTCTCAAATGTTTCTCAAAAGAATCAATCTTTAAACACACACACACACAAACTTATTTATTAGAAATGAGAGTTGGACCTGGCACAATGGCTTATCAGCTAAATCCTCACCTTGCAAACACTGGGATCCAATATGACTGTGTCCCAGCTGCTCTACTTCCCATCCAGCTCCCTGCTTGTGGCCTGGGAAAGCAGTAGAGGGCGATCCAAAGCCTTGGGACCCTGCACCCACATGGGAGACTCAGAAGAAGCTCCTGGCTCCTGGCTTTGGATCAGCTGAGTTCTGTCTGTTGCAGCCATTCACTTACGAAATGAACCAGTGGATAGATCTTTCTCTCTGTCATTCCTTCTCTCTCTATAACTCTGCCTTTTCAATAAAAACAAATAAAATCTTTTTTTAAAAAAAGTTAATAACTTTTAAAAAGAGAGAAAGAAAGGCGATTACAGAGAGAAAAGGGCCACAGTGGTGGTATGGTGGTAGAGCACATTAATTCTCCACCTACACCGTAGAATCCCATATGAGCACCAGCCCATGTCCCTGTGATCCACTTTTGATCCAACTCTGTGATAATGGTCTGGGAAAGAAGCAGAATATGGTCCAAGCCCATGGGAGCCTACACCCACATGGGAGATCTGGAAGAAGCTCCTGGCTTCCACCTTCAGATCAGCCTCGCTAAAGCCACTGTGACCACTTGGGGAATCAACTAGTAAATGGAAGATCTATCTCTAGCTCTCCTTCTCTCACTGCAATTTTGACTTTCAAGTAAAATAAATTTTCAAAAAGAAACTTAAAATCCAGGCATATTTTTTTCATAATACTCATATTCCATTAAGTTTCTGAAGACTAGGTCTCTGCATGGAGTTCAAAATTATTTCATCAAAACAAACTTACCTTTTAACTCTATTTTCCATGAACTGTTAAAGTACCCCTATATATAACACGATAAGACAGGGAAATAATAACAAGGGAACAGACTGAATTTCTCTAAAAGTAGTAGTCTCCCTCAGCAGTAGGCAAAACTGCCTGTGTTGCCCCGTACCTAAGCAAAACACTGTAGGGAGAAAAACAGTCAGCAGCAGGTAGGCATTCTGGGCCTGGTAAACGTCAAATTTGTGTTAACTACATGAATGTGCCAGCATAGCAGTTTATCCCCATCCCAACTTTTTTTTTTTAAGTGGAGAAGGCTAGAAATTTGGGGCCAGGACACACCAACCCATTCCCCAGACAGAGGAGCTGAGAACTACCTGGGAAAGTGGTCTGGGTAGTTTTAGGAGTGGGAGTAGCTGAGGGCATGTTTGACAGGGGAGGAATGATTTCTGGTGTCTTCCACAGACCAGGCCTCTGCACTGGCAAGTAGGTGAAGGAACTGAGATGGAGTGAGTTAGAGGAAGGAAACCAGAGGCATGTTGGGGTTAGGCAAGACACACCCACATGGGAGACCTGGGCTGGGCTAAACAGCATCCACTGCAACTCACCGATACACGCAAAAGCTGGGTCTGGGCGTCATTCCTGGCTGAGTTAGGCTGTAATACCTACCCACCAATGTCAGAGCAAGGAGTGGGCCAAGTCAGGACTGATCATAGCACCCACCAAACACAAGAGAACCGCATCTGGAGGAAGATTCTGTAGAGCAATTATGGGCTCACACCTAGAGGCTTACCCAAAGAGCTGGAGTGGTGATAGCCTGAGCCAGGCTGGACCACAAAAGTCACCTGACAAGGACCATCTGAACCTCAAAGGGGCCAGGGCTGGAAGGAGGCCAGGTAAAACCAGGCTGCAGCACCCGATGTCAGCACATTTAGATGTCAGGGCCAACAGTAGACCAGGCCAAGCAGGGCTGCTGCACCCACCAGCAAGAATGAGATCCAGGGCAGGGACTAAGCCTTCAGGGGAGCTTAGGGTATTCCCCTACTAGGCCACAGCCCCCATCAGGCATCACCAGAGTCAGGGCTGGGGAGCAGGCCAGCTTAGGTAGGGCTGTTGCACCCATCAGCATACATGTGGGCTGGGTTTGGGGGTGGGCCACACTGGGTTAGACTCCAGCACCTACTGGCGCTCCCAAGAGCCAGAATGGCTGCAGGACAGGACAGGCTAGGCCACTGCACCCTCTAGGTTTCATGAAAACCAGGTCTGGGGATAGGCCAGTCTGGGCTAGGACATAGCACCCATTGATGAGTCAGCATGGGTGTGAGCCAATCATGCTAGGCTACAGTACTCACTGGTGAGTGCCAGGACTGGGAGCTGACCATGTCAGTGTGGGCAGCAATACGAGCAAGCAAACATGAGATCCATTGTTGGGAATGAGTCTGGTAAGGGGACTTGAAGAACTCCCCTACTGGGCCACAGCTCCCACTGGTGAGTGCAAGAGCCAAGGCTGTGAGCAGGCCAGACCAGACTGGCAAAAGAGTGAGCCAAGTGTGCTGATCGGTTGGTCAGGATCAGTTTAGAGTACACACTGGCATAATGGAGAGCAGGACAGAGAGCAGGCCAGACTGGATTAGGCCACAACACCTGCCACTTCACATGAGGGCTGGAGCTGGGCCAGGCTGGGACAGACTGCTGTCCCAAACAACAAGAGCTGGGATTGGGGTCCAGTGTGGCCAAGAGGCTAAAGTCCTCGCCTTGAACACGCCCGGGATCCCATATGGGCACTGGTTCTAATCCCAGTAGCTCCACTTCCGATCCAGCTCCCTGCTTGTGACCTGGGAAAGCAGTCGAAGACAGCCCAAGGCTTTGGGACCCTGCACCCAAGTGTGGGAGACCTAGAGGAAGTTCCTGGCTCCTGGCTCTGGATCGGCACAGCACCAGCTGTTGCGCTCACTTGGGGAGTGAATCATCGGACAGAAGATCTTCCTCTCTATCTCTCCTCTGTATATATCTGACTTTGTAATAAAAATAAAAATAAATCTTAAAAAAAAAAAAGAGCTGGGATTGGGGACGGACAGGACTGAGCCACACTGAAACACACAATGGCACACACAAGAGCCAGAATGGCTGCAAGTCAGCCAGGCTAGGCCACAGTACCAGCTGAAGTGCCAAGACTCGGTGTTAGTCCTGTCAGGCTGGACTGCAAAACGCCCTGGCAGGCACAAGACCCAGGGATGGGAACATGCCCAGCAGAGGACCTGTAGGCATTCACCTGCTGAGCTGTACCTATAGCTGGGAGGACAAGAATCAGAGCTTGGAATCAGACAAAGCAGTGGTACCTGTTAGCATGCGTGAGGGCCAGGTTGGGGAAAAGTCTGACCTGAGCTAAGCTGCAGCACCCATGAGTGGGCACAAGAGTCAGATGGGATGTGGGCTGGGCTGGACTAGGCCACAGCAGAGGCTGGCACATGCAAAAACTAGAGTTGGGGATAGGTTTAGTGGGTTATTGGGGCTTACCCTGACCAGGACACTGCACCTGCTGGTATGTGTGAGCACTGAGTCTATGGTAAGCTAGCTGAGCTGGATCACAGTACCCATCAGTTCACGTGTGAGATATGGGGCTAGGGTGGAACTGACCAGGCAGCTACATCCTCCAGTATGTGTGTTAGCAGGTGCAGATGACAAACTGAACCTGACCCTGCACTGACTGGCACACACAAGAGTCAAGTCTGAGGTCTCCCCCAGGGCAAGGTTTCTTGGGGGTACTTCCCAACTGGACTGTTGGACTCAGAGCCTGGCCAAAGGGAAAGTCACAGGATGTGTGCCCTGACCTTGGAGTACATGTACAGGGGCTGATGCCTCTGCAGAGGACATATGCCCAGATGCACACAGGGGACACGATGATGAGCTCATCCAGGCCATCCAGGACATCAACTGCTTCGTCAGAGGATGGAAAGCTGAACAGGTTGGATGCTTCTAGGCCTATAGATGCACTAAAGAGATCTTGGAAAGATTTTTTTTTAAGATTTATTTATTTTTATCAGAAAGTCAGATTTACAGAGAGGAGAGGATTAGCCAACTGAACCATAGCACCAATTTTTCAATCCTGGAGCGAGGAAACCATCAACATCTGAGAACTGTCAAAGCTACTCAAGAACTGCTCCGAACACTGTCACCCACATCAGGGTCTCTGGAGCATCATCAAAGGACCATCCCCCAACCCCAGGTGCTGATATGGTAAAACAGCAAGAGCGGACTCCTCCTCCTCATCCTCACTAGGACACAAGAGTAAGAAAACTGAAACATGTGTCTCACCCCCTTTCTTCCACGTCTAACCTCATCACACCCTAATCACAGGCCCACATCCAAGTGCATTCCTCTCAACTATGTAAACGACATTTTAAAAAACACAAACTTTTTAAAAAGGCAGAGTTATTGAGAGAAGAAGAGACACAAAAAGATCCTCCCACTCCCTGGTTCACTCCCTCAAGTGGCTGCAACAGCAGGGCTGGGCCGCTCAGAGCTGGGAGTTAGGCGCTTCCTCCAGGTCCCCCAGCCGGGTGCAAGGGCAACAAACAACGGGCCCTCTCCCTGCGCTTTCCCAGCTACCTTAGCAGGGCTCTGCATTGGAAGCAGACCAGCCAGGTCTTCAGCTGCGGCCCTTCCAGGCTGTCCACAGGACTAGAGGCACACTGGCCACACCACAGGGCCCACCTCCCGTGAGTTCTTAACAAGGACATCCAAAGCAAGAAGCTGAACAGGATGAGGACAGGAGAGTTTATGAGCACTCCTCTGCTAGGTCGGTAGTACTTCAAACAATACCCTTTCATCACGGATACGTGGCCAAGAAAAAACTTCAACGAACAATCATCTCAAGATACAGAAAAGTACAAATGGGACGGATGTTATTTAGCAAACTAAAAAAAAAAATTGACAAACTCTGAAGAGAGAGAATGGGGATGATATTCAAGTATAAAAAAGCAAAACCTTGCAAGCTAACAGTTTTTTAAACTATGAAGGTCATAGCATTTCTCAAGAACTTGAAAATAACACCAAAAAACGCCTGTATGTACCAAAACTCTATTATAGAAATTTTCCAATTCAGAACATACATGAACTTGATTGCTGAATCGTCAAGTCCATTAGTACAAGGGAGCTCTTCAATTCACACATTTTTAGTGCTCTGATTATTGAATAAGACAGTAACAAGGGGTCACTGTTTAGCAAGAAACCTTTGCGTCCAAAAAGTGAATACTTATGGATTCTAAAGTTTGGCCTGCCCAAACACAGACGTGCGAACTCTGTGCACGGCTCTCCCTTACAGCTTTCACAGTGACAACACGCCCTGGCACTGGCAGGCTCTGGGAAGGGCCACCTGGCGTACTGCTGTCTAAATGCAAGCGGACTTCTGTTCATTCGGGGAAAGAGGGGGGTGGGGGGGAAATCACGATTTCCATGGTATCTTTAAAAAAATTAACAAAATTCTCAAGCAAGGAATTATGGAAGAGCGAACCTAAACGCACACCTCACGCCTCCTCACGCCCGCACACCGGGCAGGGGGCCGCAGCCCACGCCGCCAGGCCACGGCGGCCGCCCCGGCGCGTGGACGTGGGCTCCGCCGCCTCTCGGGCAGCCCGGCCGACCCCCGGCGAGGGCGGGCCCCGCTCGGCCAGTCGCCACCTCCCTCCTCGCTCCACCTCGCCAGGCGTGGCCTGCAACACGGAGCCCCGCGGGAGCCACCCGGCCCAGGGGCGCCGAGGCAGCGCCCGCGGCCCGGGCACGCATGCGCAGCGCCCGGGGCCGGCTCGGTCCGGCGCGGTCCGGCGCGGTCCGGTTCGGGGCGGCCGCTTGGCGCTCGGCCGCCGCACACCGCGCCAGGCCCCACGCCGCCTCACGCCGGCCGGGCCTCGGACCCCGGCAGCCACGAGTGCCGCCCCCCAGGCCTTGGCCGCCGGCATCACCTGGGTCTAGGTCGTCGGGCTCACCCCTCGCGTGGACCTGCAGGGGCCGCGGACCGGGAAACGCGTCTTTGGGCGAGGGCGCCGCCGGCGTCCTCCCAACTTGCCTCAGTTTAAGCTCAGCGCCTTCCTGGTTCCAGCGCCAGGCAGCGCCAGCCGCGCTGCCGAGTGCATCGATGAAGGCCGCCAGGCGAAGGGAATGCCGAGCGAATCGATTATCACGCCGCCAATTTTTTTTTTTTTTTTTTTTGGTTCGGTGTTTATTTTGCGTGCTTGTTTAATTTCATTTTCTTGTTCCCAAAAAGCAATAAAGGTGGGACTAGAGGTTATTACTGCGTTAGTCATCGTCGTTATTGTCACATATAATCAGTAAACAAATCTGCATTGTATGAAGTTACGTGTAACACACCCACACGTAACAAAATTGGTTATCTGAAACTGCAGGAGGGGGAAAGTAACCCAGCAACAATAAATCATGGGAGTGTGTCCGTATAGACTTGTGTGTGATTAAATTGTAATGATTTATTTGCAAAACTGCATTGAAAGCCACTGTTTCTTCCACCCTGAAGGGGAAGGCGCTCTCAAGTTGGGCGCAAATTAGTTTCTCAGATTAAAGTTCGCCAAGAAAAAGGCAGAAACTGCCTGAGGCGGGGAGTGAGAGTTTCTTCCGAGAGAAAAATCAAATGTATATAGGATTTTTTTTTAAAAATTAAGCCAATAGGAATTAAAGCAGTTCAGCATTTTCTGCAATTCACACTACCTTACTTACTTTTTTCACCTTGCATAGGAAATCGCTTTTTCCTAATTGACTGCAACTCAGCAAAGCTGAGGAGGGAAAGTGGCCTTGGTTTGGATTGACTGTGAAACTGTTAGACAACTAAGTAGCAATTTTCCACAACCCTTAGAGAGGCAATGCTATAGTTTCCAGGAGTTGCTTTAAAACAACTGCAATATTACATGTTTATTTTAAATAATGCAAGAGCTGAGGGAACCCTGGAGGTCCTGAATTTTATTAGAACCTGTATACCTGTCAGCACACTGTCAGCCGAGCTTTGCCCACGATCTTTTTTAGCAAAACTGCATTCTGACATGCCTTGTCTCCAGAAAACATTCGCTTTTTAGTCAAACAACATCGTTAAAACTTTGTGAGCCTGTATTAGTCTACAATGGTCAAACTTTGGGTTTCTTAAAAAACTAAATTTCCCTTAGGCCAATTGGGCATCTGTGGTCACAGAGGGGGGGATTTCTCATAGGGATTTCTCTGACACAAACTCCATAACTCCTAAATAGAAAATGAGCCAATAAGCTGAGATCAAGGAAATACCTATTAGCTTGAATTATACAGGAGTCTTGTCTGAACCCTCCTGGGTGACAGTGGCCATCTTCCCCTTTTGATTAGCACAGGGAATATAGAAGTCCTGTTACTGAAAGGATCCAGAACTAGCCGGTCCCCGGAACTCTCATCTGGTGTGCTGCAGCCGCCTCTGAGTGGCATTCGGCACCTCAGGCTGAGGCGTCTTGGAGCACCGAATTCATTTCCGTGACCCCATACTGGCCACCAGGCAAAATAATTTTTTTTAAAATGATCTCCAAAAAGGAGCCAAGTTTTATGATGATTCCCACTGGTATCAGAATTAAAACAGTTACCGATAGTAGCCCTTGACTTTGTGTGGAATTGTCCAGAAGTTTAGAAACTTTGGGTATGGAGTGTCTTGGGTAGTAAGACAAAAGCAAACATGCCTCTAATTGATTAGCACCCAAAAGCTATTGCTTTTGAAAAGTTAAACACTTTAACTCCTTCCCCTATCAGTAGACCCAAAAGGGGGGTGGAATGGAGTGTGTTAAGAAGAGGTGTGTGTGGTGGGTGTGTTAAGAAGAGGAAAAGATTACTTCAGGAGCAAAAAAAGCAAAGCAACATTTCCAAAAAGTATGATTTTCACCTTACTTAAAATTCACGAAGTGCGAACATTCTAATCCGAAGACTCATCGTATTACAGTATAACAAAGTAGCAGTCTCTGTTTAAATAGATTTAGAAAAACATACATCAAGGTTCCCTGCGTTCCCTTTTCACAAATGTTTCCAGTTGCTTTAATAGGTATTCTGAAATTATCTGCGGTGTATCCATGCCCTGCCCAAGGAGTGCAAGGTACACATAGAAATAGTCTGTAATTGCCTTTATTTTTACTGAATGTTAAGTCCAAGACACTAACAAATTACCTTCAACATTAGAAACCCTGCGTTAATGCTCAGAAGGCTTTATTTGCTTACACACTCAAGTGAATGTAGCTCTCCGCACGTAGCTGTCCTTGTGGATACACACAGGTATTCCTCCCAAGCCCCGCTCTGCATGGTGCCGACAGATGACTCGGGGTGCAGAGCCGTAAGACAAGCCGGCTTTGATGAAAATAATCCTCGCATTCCCTTTTAAGCCGTATCTTAGACAAGCGAAAAAGAGACTTCCTCCAGGCGAGCATCTCCTTACGAACGGTCTAGGGTCAGTAAAATTAGACGGGGCACAAAGTTAAGGTCTTATTTTTCTCCCCCAAACTCCAAGAGGGATCATCTCTCCGTTGGTCAAAACGGGGGAAACCAACTAGACCCTTTCGCCAGGGTGTCCAGCAACAACACCGTGAGAGTTGGACAGAAGGACGAGGGTGCCCAGACCTCAGACCCAAAGCCGAGTCCAGCTGTCCTTGACCGGCACTGGCGAGCTCCGCCGGCCCCCTTGCAGCCAGGTCGGGGTGGACTCCGGGACGCAGGGCTGCAGAGATGCGCGGTGCCTGCCGCGAGCAGCCGCGCGGCGCCGGGCAGCGCTGGTGCAGCCCGGCCGAGGCCGCGCGGGGTGCGGGCGGGACGCGGGGCGGCGGGCAGGGCCTGCGAGGCGCGCGCCGGCCCTGACCCGAGCACCCGGCGCTGGCTTTGGGGTCGGTGCCGGGTAGAGGGGGGGTCCTCGCCCGAATCCGCCAGGCGCGCACTTGTCAGTTTGCTCCTGGCCCCGCCCCCCGCGGAGTCCCTCCAGCTCCCCAGTGCTTAACTAAGTCGTGACACCAACGCAGAAACCCACGCCTAATTAAATTAATTAGGGATCCTTGTCAATCCTGGATGAATGGCCAAGCGCGTCGGCGGCCTGGACGGCGGGGACCTTCCTCCGCCCCCACTCCCCGGGTCCCCGCGCAGCGCGCCCGCGCCGGCCGGACTCCTGCCTCCACTGCGCGCTCTGCGTCTCTCCATCTCTCCCTCTCTCCCCTCTCTCTCTCCTCTCTCTCTCCTCCCTCTCTCCCACTCTCTCTCTCTCTCTCTCTGCCCTCCCTCCTCCCCCCACACCCCCACCCCAGGTAGCGGCGCGGCTGCTCCCCGCGAAGGGGGCTCGCTCGAGTTGCAGGGGAGGTAATTGACTCGGAACGAGGGCCGCCCGAAGGAAGTATAAATAGTGAGACTTCACGCGCCGCGTCGCTCTCGGATCTGAACTCTCGGCAGGAAGAATTGTCAAAGATCTTAACATCCCCCGGGCGCGCTCCGGCGGGGAAGCCCGGGCCGCGGCCCCGCCGCCCCCGCCCCTCCCCCGCCGCCCCCTCCGCTCCCCGTCCTCCTCCTCCTCGGCTTCGTCCTCCTCCTCCTCCTCCTCTTCGCACTTCTGCTGCTCCTTCTACTTCTCCTCCTCTTTCTTCTTTCTTCTCTTTTTCTTCCTCCTCCTCCACCTCCTCCTCCTCCCGCTCCTCCCCCACCCCTGCCCCATTGATGTGTTGTTATTGGGGGGGCTGGAGCAGTAAGAAAAGGAGGAGGAAAAAAGGAGCGGGGCTCGGCTGGGAGCGGCTGGGCGCGGGGCCGACGGGCGGCGGCGGCGGCGGCGATGGAAGAACTTACGGCGTTCGTCTCCAAGTCCTTTGACCAGAAAGTGAAGGAGAAGAAAGAGGCCATCACCTACCGCGAGGTGCTGGAGAGCGGGCCGCTGCGCGGGGCCAAGGAGCCGAGCGGCTGCGCCGAGCCCGGGCGCGACGACCGCAGCAGCCCGGCAGTCCGGGCGGCCGGCGGAGGCGGCGGCGGAGGAGGCGGAGGCGGAGGAGGTGCAGGAGGAGGAGGAGGAGGAGCAGGCGGAGGAGCTGGAGGAGGGCGCTCGCCCGGCCGGGAGCTGGACATGGGCGCCGCCGAGAGGAGCCGGGAGCCGGGCAGCCCGCGGCTCACCGAGGGTAACGGCCGCGGTTCCCTTTCCCGCCTTGCCCACCCATCTCGGGCGGCCCCGTGGGGAGGGGGTGGGACGCGCGCCGGGCTCCCCTAGACCCCGGCTTTAGGGAGCTGGAGCGATAGGGGAGCGGGGGATGGGGGGAGCGCGGTGGGCGTCCGGCAGTGTGCAAGGTCGTGGGTGGGGTCCTAACGCGTGAGTGTGTGAGTGTGTTGGGGGGGTGGATGAGCGTGTTCGTGAGGGGTTTGCGCGAGTCCCCCGCGCCCCCAGATGCTCCCACCACACCGAAATGCAGCTTCCCCTGGCTGGACGATGGGCCCCCGCAGTCGGGACGGCCCGCGGGCGGACGTGCAAGTTGGCGGGGCCGGGCTGCGGCACGGGGGGCCGGCGGGGTGAAGCTGAGCCTCCAGCGAGAGTTTGCGGCAGCCTTCCTCCTCATCCCGACCCCCCTGCTCTCCCAGGCCCGAGCGAGACCCGGGCAGAGGGAAACGGGCCCCCTAGGTTGTCGCCCCCCCCCGCGCTTTCGGGCAGCCGCCTGAACCCCTTTTAACTCCGCCAAGACCCCCGAGTCTTCGGCTCTTAGGGGCCCGCACTTGCCATTTTCTTTGCGCAACGGAAACAGACCGAAAGCCAAGGCAGAAGGAGGTGCAGGCTACGCTGCTTCTCCCCGGCAAGGCGTTCGGGATTCATTTTGGGTGGTTTGCTGCACACAATTCCTTCGAATCCTCCAGCGCTCTAATCTTGCGGAGGCGAAACTCCTGGCGTGCCAGCGAAGTGTTAGGAAACGGCTTTATCTAAGTGCCGGAGCGTCCCGTACCAATTCAAAGGAGTTCAACAATAAAATTAATTTGGCATTTGGTAACTGCAGTAACTGGTGAACTGCCATATTTTTCCAATTAAGAAAATATGTGCCATGCGTAGAATCACATATTTAAGCGAGCAATTAGGTTGTTTATAACACGGTCTGTTACTGTTTAGGCCACTAAGTGGAAATTTGGGGGCGAAATAAGAATTACATTAAGCCTATTAATAAACGTGAAATTTGGACCTCCTTCCCCTTGAAGCGTCAAAACTTTGAGGGGCATCCATTGTGTGGATGACAAAAAAAATAGACGAAGCTTTCCCGCCCCTTTCGGCGGAATCGGCTGTGTTTTCGTGTTGAAATTCACTTCACTATCCGTGGAAATATTTTTCTATTGACTCTGACCTCCCCTCACCCCCCGCCGTGATGGGTACGAGGTCCTGGAGGAAGGACGAGTGTGCACAGAACGAACTCTGAGAACTAGAAATGCAGGCGCCGCTCGAGCTCCGCGGCAGCTGGAATGCCAGGCAGCTGTGCCTCCCCCAGCCCTGGCATCGCGGCCTCCCACCTCGGGAAGGTGGCGGGCAAAGGCGCAGGGGGCCCAGCGCAGCCTCCCGGCCCCGGCTTCGCCAGCGGCGAGGTTCAGCTCTGAACCCCGGTGGGCGCAGTTCCTGGGATGGTTGATTTGACAAGCTGAGGGCAAGTATTGATTTTTCTGCAGACCTGCTTTTCAGAAATGATTTTTAACACCCGTGCTTAATCGGGATCCTGGGTTGGGAAGTACTGACTAGCTCAACTCAGTTTTGACACATGAAAAACCCGAGTGTACTCCAACGCGGGAGCTGAGGAGGAAGGTGGGGTGGGAGGGAGGACGTCATGTTTGACACCAGCTCTCCCCCCACCCCCATCGCTGGCCTTGACCAAATAGACATAACATATATGTATACATATACATGTAATATATAGAATTTGCCTCTGTTTGGCTCACACTCGCGCAAGCGCCTGTTTTTAAAGGCAAGAGAGAGGAAAGAAGCAATGGATGTGTGCAAACCAGTGCAGAAAAAAAATGCATATTTTATTAAAGATCCGAGCTGCTGGATGCATGAAAAGGCTTTGAGCAACCAATAGAAACCGAGGATCGCGAATGTTCTGCTTGAACCTGTTGATCTCTGTGGGTTTAAGCGTTTAGGATCGAGTCTGTGTTTCCACCTGGGAGCGAAAAGGAGAGAGCAGAGAAGGCGGCGGCTTGTGCCGGCCACCCGAGGCTGGTGTTCCGCCTTTCGCCTTCTGGCCGGGCGTGGGCGACAAGACCTCCAGGCCGCCAACATGGCGTGGGCGCCTGTGCTCCTGCGACCCTGGTCGCGCACGGGGGACGGGGACTCCCAGGCCTCGGGTGGGACCGCCCGTGGTATTGCTGGGGTTTGGCCGGAGCCCTGGGGGCCAGTGCGGGCACCCGCGGCCGTGGCTCCCAGCGCCACGCAGCGCCCGGGTGTTGTTCTCGGGCTGCGACCCTTCGGTCCGATTGTTCCCAAATTAGAGCAGCAAGTTTGCGGGAGGTGGAAGGCCGGTGGTGGTGGTGGTGGCGGTGAGAGCTGGCCTGAGAAGGAGCCAGCCCTGAGGATGGCCAGTGTGGAGGCCAGTACGTGGCCTTGCCGCGCCCCTCGGCTCAGACCGCGCTCTGGGAGAGGCGAGGCACGGCCCTAGTATTTTGCTGTGAGTGCGTGGAGGAGAGTGGGTGGGAGACGAGGAGGGATGGAGCGCAGTCGGTGTCTGCGGGCGAGAACAGGGGTGGACAGTGAGGCTGTGAGCCGAGGCCACAGCTAAGCAGAAGCAGTGGTGCGCGCTCAGCTGCTACAGCAGAGGAGGACTCTAGGATCTTAATGTCTCTGAGCAGTGTGAGGAGCTGGACGGGAATTCTGGGAGAGGGTAGAACTCGTTCTTCTTCGGTGCAAATCTGGTGACTGAATTTGCTGTGCTGTTTTTGTCCGTGCGTGTATGTGTGTGTGCTGGTGTGTGTGTGTGCACGCGTGGACGCACGTGTGGCCCCGTCCGTGGTGCCCCCTCCAGTGTCCCCGGAGCTGAAGGATCGCAAAGAGGATGCAAAAGGGATGGAGGACGAAGGCCAGACCAAAATCAAGCAGAGGCGAAGTCGGACCAATTTCACCCTGGAACAACTCAACGAGCTGGAGAGGCTTTTCGACGAGACCCACTACCCGGACGCCTTCATGCGCGAGGAACTGAGCCAGCGGTTGGGGCTGTCGGAGGCCCGAGTGCAGGTAACCCGGCTCATGGGGTTGTGGAGGACCAGGAATCAAAGAGAAGATCCGCTGGGGGTGAGAGAGGCTGCTTGGCTGAGGGGGAGTCAGCGTTACACATCCAAGAAGCCAGTTGTGTCTGGTTCGAGGTGTGGAGGTCTTATTTTCCAAAGCAAGTATTAGTCCTATAGCCCTTTTCCCCCATCCCAACAGATGTTCCGTGCAGAAGAAAGCTTTGCTGGGTTTATTCCCAGAGTTTCTATAAACCAACCCCCACCCCCGCCTCACTCTGGCTTTAATGTGGTTTAATCCTAATGGGCCTACTTTTATAAGCTTTAAAAAAAATAAATCACAGAAAACGTTTTATCTCTGGGTGCCTTAAAAGTTACAATGGGTATTTTACTTAGTGGAGTGTAGTTTCGTTGAGGGTCTGCTCTGGGGTCTAGGCTTGGCAAGCGGATATGCCAATTAGGTTTATAGATGTGCAGACTGTAAAGGAAATTAGCAACTGTTAAGTGTGGAAATTTACAGTCGGCCTCACAGTGGATCTCAAACTTTGGGTGATGTAGCAGAGAAACAAATGCATTTCCGTCACTCTTTGTTCCGGTAACCAAGGCAAGGAACTTGAACCTACAAGCACTCCATTTTAAAATAATTTACAAATATCTTAAAATGGGCATTTCCCAGCAAATGTCAAACCCGCTGAAATTAGGATTGAAGCTGATTTTTTTTTCCCCTTGGTTGTGCAGGTGAATATAATAGCAAAAGTAGGCTTTGGGGCATTTAAGCAGGAAAATTATACACACACACACACACACACACACACACACATGCATATCCTTCCGGCTTTAAAGAGAACACATTTAAATGTTTCAGATTCTATTTCCGCTCAAATAATAAAATGGGAGAAAATGATGGTCATTATTTATTTGAACACATGGAGTGGTTTTAGGTCCGGACATCTGCAGCTGTTACAAAGTATCGCTGTAACAGATACTCCCTGGGTCTCTGGGCGCAGAGACCACCATCTGTAGCGAACTATGCCTAATTCTTATGGGGCTTCTGCGCATCTTGTAATAGGATCAGGGGGAAAAAAAGAGCAGTCACATTGAAGGGGGAAGGTAATAATAGGCTACCTTGGTCATCACAGCGTCCACAGCAGAGCCTGCCTTTTTAAGCTCTCCTGCTTCACTCTGCACACTGAGATCTCCAGGGGCTCAGCAACCTCTTAAAAACGTGATGGTAATTATTACAGTGATGAGTATTAGTATCTCAATCCCAACTCTTCTAGGGGAAAAAAGAGGCAAGGAGCCTCAGGCCATGTGAGTTGCACAAAGGATGCCACCCTGGCATGAAATCCACCCTTCTATTATACTGAGTAGCAGGGGAATTCCTGGAGATTTACATTGGCTGTGACGCTTGCTTTCAAAAACATACCAGAAAAGGCTCTGAAGCAATATTTTACTTTCATGGGGTTTTTAAACATTAATTTGTGAATCAGTCAATATGCTGTATTATTGGAACTGGAGTGTAAAAGCAAGCTTTATTTGAATTTTTGAAAAACAGTCCTATTGCCTCTAAAAGTTGGCAAGTTTATTTAAGAAGGAAATACCCAGCATGTAGTAGTAGTTGGGGGTTGATTCATTCGTCAGCCCCTTTAGAGAGTACTTTTTCTTCCTCCTAAGAGGTGAACTCTATTGCTAGTCTCTTTTTTCATACTTTCAGTTAAGTTTTACAGCTGTTTTCTAACTGCTTCCCTATAATCTTAAGTCCAAGGAGTTCTTTTTCTATAGAAGCAATTAGATTATCATGAGAATGATATGATTATTCTGCTATGATGTTGCACTGGTTGCACAGAGGATTGGAGAAATTCTACATTTCTTTGTAGTGATGGTTTTATGACACTAATTACCTCTCCCCCCACTTAGAATTCCCACCCCCCTCCAAAAGAGTCATTATTTGCTTTTGGCGTTTGGATTTTCTTTAAGATGAAACTAATTAATACTACAGCTATTAATGAGCACATTGTTTTCAGATCTTAACTGGGCATGCGTTTGAACGCACTCTCATGTTGGTATCAGGGACCAGGGAGAGTTTCAGGAACTCTTAACAGAAAGGAACTCCCCCAAAATTCCTTTTATAAGAGTCTAGGAGATCTATCCTTTTATTTGTTTAGCTTATTTACATTTTAACTTTTGATATTGAGGCTGTTTTTACCTAATTCAAAGATTTGCTTGCTATGTGTCTCTTGATATTTTCTAATTGTAATTTTTTAATTTTTTTGAGTCATAATATCAAAGTTATTTTTTTCTCTCCAATGTGCAGGTTTGGTTTCAAAATCGAAGAGCTAAATGTAGAAAACAAGAAAATCAGCTCCATAAAGGTATGTTTCTCACACAAGGAATATTTTAAGTTCCAAGTAAAAGGACAGAGATGGACAAATGTTATTACAAGCACAGAAAAGCTAGCTTAAGAAGGTCCTTGATTAAGAATATTCTATAGAGACAGTTCATGAGAGCCCCAAAGTTTAGAAGTACATTACGTTTATTTAAATCATGGGAGTAGTTTAAAACAATGGCAGTTGGATCCCAGAGGAATCAGCTCTGTGCTTTCCACTCTAGAAAACAACAATGCTGTTAACCTCACGCTGTTGTCTTCTTTTCCCATTTCGCAGGGGTCCTCATAGGGGCTGCCAGCCAGTTTGAAGCTTGTCGCGTTGCACCCTATGTGAATGTAGGTGCTTTAAGGATGCCATTTCAGCAGGTAAGTACAACTTAGCTTCAACCTTTTTTTTTTTTTTAATGTAAAAGGACCTGGATGTTTGAATGGACTGTTGAACATCCCTTCTCTCTAAGCCTCAGTATCCAGGAGGCTGGAGAATCGATTTTGAAAATGATCTAGTGGACACATTCCCTTTTAAAAATGTATACATTGTCAGGGCCTGAATGCCTGGTCCTTTTTATCCTCTTGGGAACCCCACCAGGGTCTGAAGGCAGTAACTGGTCCTTGAGAAATGCACTAAAGATTGCACTCGGGGAGAGGGAGGAAAAGCCTTTTGATTAAGGTTTTGTCAAATTCAATTCAGAGGTTAGTCTTAAAATGTTTCCATGGCAATCCTCTAAGTATTTTTCTAGCTATTTTCCATCTCTTAGTCATATTAAACGCCTCTGACAGGAGAAAAGTAAATAAAGTGTCCCGACCCAGATTTGGGGGGCAGTTGGTTTTGTTTTTGTTTTTAAAGCTGTCCCTGAAAACAAAAGTTCATCCCCAGGAAGGAGAGAAACCCTGGTCTCCTCAGGGCTGCCCTGCCTCTGCAAGCCCTTTCTGGGCCGAGAAGAAACCTTTCAGACCACAGTGTGGAAGGAGAGCCTGCAGCAATGCTGTAATCCTGGGAATCCCAGTGTCCTGAACTCCAGGCCTCCCAAGCTCCAGGGCAAAATCCTTACCCAAACAGTGCCTGACCTTCCCCTGCCTTGGCCAGGACGCTGTGACGTCACCAGTTAGTTCTCACTCTGCAGCATCCTGGACTGGGGAAGCACCTGGTTGGGCCCATGTACACAGGGGTAATGTTAGGGAGACTTTAGCTGTCCTGCAACCACAGGGTTTTGACAACCAGACGCTAGGCTATGAAGCAAAAATATATGGAGAAAGGAAAGGTGGGTCTTAAAAGACTCTTCCTACTCAGGAAGATATGTTTTTGGGCTAGGGACAGCAGCAGCACTACCTGGATATTGTTGGAAAATGAAACTCTGTAAGAAGATTTCCAAGTAATTCTTAGCCTGTAAAAGAAGTACTGATTCAAAATGAAGCCAGTTGTGGTTAAGATGCACTCGCTTTCTTAAGTGAAATTTTTAAAGTTTTGTGGTTTGCTGGTTGATAATTCTGTGCTTTAATAGTGGGCTAAATGGGTTATGGCAGCATCAGGATTGGATGCTCTCATCCCGAAGCGTTCCACTATGCCATTGTTACTTCATCTTAGCACAGTCTATATTGTCCACTCTTTGGCCAGCTGCTGAGGGGCGGGGCGGCCAATTTCCTGTAGACAGGGATTCCCGGGACCCAAGAAAATAAGCCCATTCTCAAAGGAGGCCCAGGGGACAGTGGACAGTGTGGTGCCTTAGCCACAGGCTGAGAAGGTCACTTTCGGGACAGTATGAGCAGTAGATGCCCTCTCCCTGCCCCTCGTCCCCCACCCCTCGCTGGAGCCGAGCTGGACGCCGTTAATGCTCTGTTTCTATTCTGTTGTCACCCTAGGATAGTCATTGCAACGTGACGCCCTTGTCCTTTCAGGTTCAGGCGCAGCTGCAGCTGGACAGCGCCGTGGCGCACGCGCACCACCACCTGCACCCGCACCTGGCCGCGCACGCGCCATACATGATGTTCCCGGCGCCGCCCTTCGGACTGCCGCTTGCCACGCTGGCCGCGGACTCGGCCTCTGCCGCCTCTGTCGTGGCGGCCGCCGCCGCCGCCAAGACCACCAGCAAGAACTCCAGCATCGCCGATCTCAGACTGAAAGCCAAAAAGCACGCGGCCGCCCTGGGTCTGTGACGCCAAGGCCAAGGCCACCGTCGCGCCGGCCGCGCGGCGCTCAGCCTGCACGCCCTCCGCGCCCCCTCCGCACCCCGGGAGCCCGCCCTCCGTGCGCCCTGCAGACTGCCCCCAGCCCCCCAGCACCCCGACTCCGCGCCGGACCCGGGACCCCGCGAGGCGCGCCGGCCTCGGGGCTCCTGCCCAGTGTTCCCGTGGGCCTAGAAGTGGGCTTTGTAGGAGCGGGTTTGGGGAAGTCCGGAGGGAGAGTGGACACGGGAGTTCCGGGACAGCCGGAGCGCGGCTCACCACGACAAAGCTGCAGCGTGGACTCGCATAGAAATAAAATCTTGACAAAAATGAGGAAAAAAAAAAAATAGAAAAGACAAACCAGAGGAAAAAAAAAAGTGAGAGAAAGGAAACTTATTTCTTATTGCTATTTCGCAGAAGCCTGAAATCGGAGCGAAAGAAGGAGCAAAACCGTTTTAAAAATTAAAGTATTTTATACATTAAAAAAAAATACGGAAAATAACCTGAACGACTCTCGAGAGAATGGGGGAGGGGGTTTTACCAACTTAAACGTATGTGTGTGTGTTTTTTTTTTCTAATGGGCTAAGAAGGCAAAAACAGAAGGAAGAGGTATACTTATTTAAATAATTATGATGAAAAAAAGTGCGCAGCTGGGAAGTTCACAGGTTTTGAAACTGACCTTTTTCTGCGAAGTTCACTTTAATACGAGAAATTTGATAAGAGAGGCGGGCCTCCTTTTACGTTGAATCAGATGCTTTGAGTTTAAACCCACCATGTATGGAAAAGCAAGAAGAGGGAAGAGTCTAAAAACGAGAAGATGAGAAAGTGATAGTATTACCAAAAAAAAAAAAAAAAGCCACAGACAATGATTTCCCTGAGAAATTATTACGGCAGGACTGTCTGGACGCTGACAGTAAATTCTGGTTTGCATGTTACTTGTATTCCATTGATGGCGTCTCCCCCACTCACCCCCTCTGTTCATAGGCACTCACTCCATTTTCATCTTCAGAACAAAAAAGAAACTACCAGAAGCATCTGGAAATTGATATGTATGTCTATTTGCCCTGCCTTTGATCCTGTGGGGCAAAAGGGAAAAGTCCGAAGGGGAGGGAGGAAATATACTCTGGTTGTTCCAAGCAGATAGAGACACATTAAATCAAGATATGGGGGGAAGGCAGAGTCCCCCTGGAAGACCAGTGACTTGGTCCAAGTGCAGAGCCCGCCACGAGGCAGGCGCCCTGCAGCCGTGCGCTCCCCTCCCTGGCTCTCTGTTCCCTCCTGCTGGTTTCCCTGCAGTCCTGCGCGAGGACCGTCCTTTTCCCCCCCTCTCTCCAGTCAGACCCACCTAAAATTACGCCCAGCTAATCTACAGGCGCTAGGTTTGTGTAAAATATGTTGATACACACGAACAAAGTTTATTTTGGCTATAATGTGTGAACCGATGGTAGGCTTTCAACATTTGCATTTTATCTCACAAAGGTGTATCTATTCAAGTAATCTTTTTTGTTGTTTGTTTCAATTCACGTAGCTATTTAAACTGGGATATCTTGGATTAAGCGATCTGTATCTAGCAAGCCTCCTTAGTTTTATTAATTTTTCTTCTAATTTACAAGAAAGAGAAAAGCTCTTCTCACTGAACTTTGGTATGCAGTTGAGCTTTGTAACTATTTGTTCTCCATGAAAACAAAATTATTTATATTTGCCATATTTTTTCTAGTGTATTAAGTTATTTTAAGCAAAAAAAGATGCTGTTATCTCATGACGTGTGGTCAGTACAAAATGTTTCGGCTCCACCTCTGTAAAACGTTTTAAATAAGTGCCAAGTTATTAATCGAAGACACTTTGCGATCAATTGAATGAAAATAGTATTGTTTCATTTGATGGGGTTCGCGTCATCTTTGTTCCTGTAACTATTAAAATATCCGGGATAGTCTTTCCTTCTTCCTTTCTGATGAATGCGTATCTCTCTTTCCCCAAAAATACGAACTTGGAGAAGAGCTCGCCGCTACTGCCACGCAAGGCAGTTAGGGCCTGGGAATGGCGTGGCCGTGGGCCCGCCTGCGTGGTGCGCATCTTCTTTCGCTCCATGGTATGTACTCCGCATAGAAACCGGATGATATTATCCAATCGGCCAAAGAACAGATAGCAAGCACCTCGCCTGGGCATAGATCACAGGAACCCCCCCTTTCCCGAGACGGAATCTCGCCCTCCTTCTTGCGAAGTCAAATCGGGGACTTTTGCAGGAGGAAGGTGGGAACCACGCAGTGCGACGTGCACCTGGGTTACCTGGCCTGGGGGAGGGGAGGACAGCCGGTGCTCGGCCGACCTCGCGGGCGCGGGGCGGAGCGGGCCGAGGCGCGGGGAGGCCCGGTCCCCCGCTCTCCTCGCGGTTCAGCGTCCTGGCCGAAGCCGCTACGTTGGTTTAACTTCGCAGAAGGTGGAAACGGGGACGCCGAGCGAGAAAAGCCAGGTCCTAACTGTCCTCGGAATCCCGAGTTCCCTCTCTCCCCACCTCCCGACCCCTTCTCTGAGAGGAAATCCCTCCAGTAAAGGGTGGCAGAGACCGCCGAGACCCGGGCCTGGGCTCCCGGCAAGGGGCGTTCGCTGCCCGCGCGCCCTTGGGGTGGGGGCACCCTGCGCCGAGCGTCCCCAGGGCACCGCGCCGCCCCGGGCCTCAGCCTGGACGCGGGAGATGTGCGCGCGTGCAGTCTCCCCGCGGCTCTCGAAGCCCACAGAACGGGCCCGGGCCGCATGCCGCGCAGCGGCCGGCCGTCGCGGGGATAATAAACGTTTGCCGGGGCCCTCGGGGCGCCCAGGCCGTCCCGGGCCGGGTTCCGAACCTACCCAAACCGCAACCCTACGCCAGCCCGCGAGGCGGGGTCCGAGGTCCTCCCTCCCCCCACAGCCCTGAGGGCGCCCGGGGGTCACGAGAGGAGAAGTCTGGGCCGGGAGCAACGGCGGTTCGATCCCGGGCCCAGCCAGTCCCCGGCTGCGGGTCGGGGCGCAGCCCGAGGCGGTGCTTCGGGGCCCAGCGGGCCCAGGCTCAGGGCACCCGCCGCGCCCAGGTAGCCTGGACGTTCCGGGCCTCAGGAGCCGAGGGGGCCGGGCATGAAGCCGCGGGGAGTCGAAGGCCGAAGTTCGTCGGCCGGGTCAGCTGAACTCCCAAGGGTCGCGGCCTGCGCACCCGGGGCACCCGCGGCGCCCTGGCCGCCGGCCGCGTCGGCTCCCCGGAGACTCCGGGAGGCCAGGGCCGGCTCTCCCTGGCCCTTTGGGGCCGGTCCTTTGGGCCTGGGTTCTGTACGTGCTGGCTCAGCCGGGCCGGCTTTCCCTGAGTGAAGTGGCCCAGAGGAATCTTCAGTTTAAATTTCACTAAGGCCCATCAAGCATATTGTTTTGGTAGAAATTCAATCGTCGTGATAATTAATAAATCACTCCCTTTCCCCCTCCCCCTAAATATTTTGGGGGCGTGCAAAGCCTACCCCAATTGCAAAACCCGTGATTGGGGAAAAGTGAGTTAAAAGAGACGTCATTAGCGTTAAGGACTCCATGATACAAGAAGCCGGGTAAGATGCAAGGCCTTTGGTTGGTGCTGAACTGATGTACATCTATTTTGAGTTTTCCCCAGATTTATAACTTTTTAGATCCTCAGATGGTAATACTTTAGCATAATGCAATGCTCAAATTTCGGAACTATTTTGATTTCTGAAAAATGCCTTTTTGGCTTCAGCAACATGGGATCTTGTTTTTTTCTCCACAAATCAGTTTACATCATAAATTGCAAACATTTGCAATAAGATCTCAAGATTGTTTATTTTACATAACCTCAAGCACTTGACTATGTTAAACACCAATAGAGAAAGTCTGTGAAATCAGTTTAATGTGTGTCAGGGAATTAAAGGATCACTCCTTTTCATCACATAAACAAAGCATTTGACATTGTTTTGATTGTCAGTCTCCCGATGTTTAAACAGTCTTACAATTGACTATTAATTTTAGGATCACTCTGCAAAAATAATTACTAAAATTATATCCTGCTTTAATTAAATGTTTCTGGGCAATGAGTGAACTTGGGAAAGTGGTTATTGTTTTTAACATTATTTTAGTGCAAACATAAATAAAAGTGTGCGAATTCCAGTGGGTGGGGGAAAGACCTGAAATGGTTTCTTAATGTGCCATTAGAACAGTTAGTCAAAATGCATTAAAGCAACATCACAAACCCAGAAATAATAAATATGTCACTCTAATGAGAGTGTTAACTTAGGGATAATTTATTCAAGGTAGTTTTTACATTTCGCATGGAATGTCATAGTGTGACCTGTCTGACTACTATGATGCTTGTTCTTCAAAATCTAATTTATATAGGCTTGAGATATACATAATTCATAACTCCTGTTGATATATGTATACACACCCCGAATTTTAAATCTTTACAATATGTTTGGATGTTTACTAGTGTGTTTTCAAGATGACTGAAAGAAAAACATAAAGTGTTAAACAGCATATTGAAATCAAATACTTCCTGTGCCTGACTGAAGGAAAAGTAGTTGAAAAAAAAAAAAGAAAGAATTAAGAAGAATCAGATCATTTTGAAGCTCAGGTCCGGGGTGAGCACGGAATTGTTTCAGACAGGGAATATTTGTGTGTAAGAAATACGCAAAGTCCTCCAGAGGAACTTCCCCTTGCGAGTGTGCAACACTTCTGATGCCTAGGCAAGCCTCTCGTGTCTCTAATTCATGAAACAAAAAATCCTCAAGTCTTAGGGTATTTTGTTTTGGGTATTTTATGTGTCAGTCAAGGTAACCATTGAGTATGCCTTCAGTACAGGAAAATTTAGTAGAGTACTTACATGGAGTTCTTCTGGCATGAGGAAAGGTTTCAGAAAATAATCAAATAAATCAAAATCGCATATGGAGAAATGCATTCACCCTTCTTTTTTTTCCTTTTGAGGAACTGCTCACGCGTCGTAAGCAAGGATCGCTCTAGACTCTTTCAAGCAGAACTGTGTGTGGTTAGCAAGCACACCTCCTGGTGCCATTGAGATGCGGTGATTCCTTTTACCTTAGTTTCCTCATCTGTAAATGGGGTTA